TGGGTCCCGACAACACCCATTGTGTGCCGCCTTTCAGAAGCCGGATTGCAGCATCCCGGCCTAGGCAGGAAATCGAAGCGGCAGCCGAGTCTTGAAGGGAAAGGACACGCATTCCGCGGCCCGAGGCGCCACCACGTGGTGAAAAGCAGCGGGCGAGGCCCTGCCAGGTCACGCGCGGGATGGGACCCAACGGCAAGATGGGCCCACCACTCCACGCCCTCGGCCCGCGCGTGGGGGATTTATTGTGGCAGTGGCGGACGGTTGCACTTCTCCACGTAGTTAAGGTGCACGGGAAACGGGCTCGCCTAATGCGGGGAAGTGGAATCGTGGGTGCAACCAATCCCACTTCCCCACGTTCTATCTGGGTTATAAAACGGAGGTACTACCGCTTGGTAACTGCCAGTAGGACCAAAACACAACAGATGAACTACACCAAAGCTGGGGGAAGGGAATGTGGGTACATTTAGGTTGTGTACGTTTTGATTCCACCCACACCTCAATAGTACAGATTCCCTATGACTCAAATCAAATGAAAAGAAACACTGAAACCCGGCTTTTCTCTTTGCTCATCCAAGGGGAATCAAATCGTCTTGTGCCATCAATATGAATCTCCGAAATGCTCAATGCACATGTTAGTCCGCAAAAGCGCATTGTCATCAACACCAAAACCAATTAGAGGGAGACATGCCCTAACATACTCAAACCTCTTTAAAAGAATCCTTTGTTTTTCCTATGATGTAATCAAACAACCTGAACTCCTGTAGATTTGAGATGACCATGACATTTCAATCCTATGTTTTTTCTATTCTTGTGTTTTTAGAATCCTTCGAATCAAAGAAGCCTTGAACCTAGGTAGCGGGCCACTAGAACTAGATTGACCCGCATTGGTGTTAGAGCAACTCTACCCATTTTCCTTAAAATGCTTTAATCCCCTAAAAGAAATCTATTTGAGGGATTAAACACTACCTAGCCTTTCCCCCAAAACTCTTAGTGCCTCAAAACATCTGAGGACAAACCCTTCAAACCCATCACTTCTGCTCAATTTAGGCAGATGATTTGTCTTCCCTTCAAACCCATCACACCTCTCTTGCTCACCCCGACCCAAGTGTCGCCGCCACCTCACCAGCCCCCGAAGCCCCACCTACCTTCACCATCATCTCCTCACTTGCTGGATGTCGGTACAGCCGGATATCGTCGATGCTTCACTTGAGAGGTGGAAGGGAGGAGAACAGGATTTGGTTCTCAGCATGATGTGTTTGGATTATGCCCCAAAGATAATTTGTAAGCATTGTATTTAAATGTTGTTGAAGTGTGTGCATTGGAATTCTCAAGTTTCGAATTAATTTTTGTGCGAATATAAGTTGAAATGGATTTTGTATTCAAAAGATTGGAAGAAATAACAAAATATTATTTTGGGGATTAAGTATTAGGGAAAGGGTTAGGTGCCAAAAAGTTAATTTTGAGCCCACAAGAATTTTTTGGAACATGGTTCGACGCGCACCCGTTATGAATAGTAAATTCAAAAAAAATACTAGGAAAAATAAAAAAAATCTGAAGTTTATTTGTAAAATATATGGTCGAGCATTCTACTCGCTATTAAGTTTCACAAAGAGATGACACCCATGGCATTGGCGAAAATGACAAAATCAGATTGTATTTTCTTTATGGAATACCCCGATGTCATTCCTTCATGAAACTTCATACGCGAGTAGAATGGTTGACCGAATTTGACACCCCAAAATTTCAGTTATTTTGATTTTTTTCCTACTAGTATTTTTTGAAATCTTTTATTCATGTGTATACGTGTGGAACCATGTTTATCTGTGTATTTCCGCAAATTTTAAGAGATTAAAGTTGGTGTAGAAATTTTGAGGTTATGTTTTAGGGGAAGAGCCAAGTTGCTCTTATCTAGTTTCCTTTTACCCTACGAAAAAACTAGAGAGAGAGCGCGCGCGTTAAAGAAGCTGGCATTTTGTAGTTTTGCTTTGCTAGTGGCCGGCCAGTAGTACATGGTGTGATACTCGTATCACGTGCGAAAAGGCCAAAAGTACGGTACAATGTACACGTAAAAAATACACTTTTGACGTGGAATCTTGGCATGCAGCGCTTGTCCCGTCGGAGGCTACAAGATTGACAAACACAAAAGTAGCCAACTTTACCTTTTTCTCCCAGCGAAGTCATGACGAAATCACAACGCACCGCGTATATCATGATGAATAGATGATGGATTCATATGCATGGATCCTTCCAAAACTCGACCAGGTTTGCTCACCGTCACCGTGAGCCCGTGAGTGGCCAGGCGAGTGGCTTGGCTGTCCCACCGGAGCAAAGCCAAAAGCCCTCCACGCCGCCACGTACGGCACGGGTGTCCTGTCCCGCACTCCGGCTCTTCCGCCTCGTTGCCACCCACTGGACTGGACTGGACTGCGGAAGGGGCCTCCGCGGCGGGGCACCCCTCGCGCACGCTCGCTATCTGCCCAAAAGGAAAGGAGCACAGCAGACTCCCGCCCGACCTGCTCTGCTCTAGATCTGCAGCAGTCGTCGAATCCTATCCCACCCCACCTGCATCCCATCCCTAACGTTAACTTTCCAACCTGTTTTGCGCTCTGCTGCTGCTGCTGCTTGGTGGCTGCCTGGCTGGGTGCCATGGGGTGCGGCCACTCCAAGCCGCCCCGTCGGGATCAGGACGCGCCGGTCGCGCTCTGCCGGGACCGCTCCGCGCTGCTGGCCCAAGCCATTCGCCACCGCTACGCCCTCGCCGACGCCCACCGCGCCTACGCCGCCTCGCTGCGCGCCGCCGGCGCCGCGCTGCACGACTTCCTCCTACTGCAGCCGCAGCCGCCGCCGCCCGAGCCAGCCGCGCTGCCGCTGCGCCTCCCCGAGCGCCGGAAGGGGGACCCGCTCCCCGCCGCCGACGCGCCCAACAACAAGGCCGATGACGACGCCGGCCACATATGCTTCCACTCGGACGACGAAGACGGCCCCGACGGTGCGCACATCAGCTTCCCGTCCGACGACGAGGCCGACACGGATGTCCCACGCCTCGAGCCCCTCCCGCCCGCGGCACCCGCGCCGCCGCCGCAGGTGGCCCCGCCTTACTATTCTCGATACGCTCCGCCGCTCTACAGCCACGTCCCAGGCCACGCGTATGGGTACGGGGCCGACATTGACGGCTATGGACATAATTTCTTCAACATCAGCTATGCCCGCAGCCAGCCGCCGCCGTCTTCTGTGTCATACGAGCACCGCACCCAAGCCACCAACGCCACCGTCCATTACTACCCGGGCAATGGTGCCTCCGGCCCACCGCTGCCCGGATCTTACTACGGCGGCTATCAGTACCGGTACCCCAACGACAGCGGCTTCCATGAGACGGCAGCCTCCTCCGTCGATGGGACTGTGCCGTCGCCACCGCAGGTGTCGAGCTGGGACTTCTTTAACCCGTTTCAGTCAGTTGAAACTTACTACCAAGAGGAGCCGGCTGCTGTGGCGGCCCATACCCCCAGGCGGACCACGCAGGAGGGGAGCGAATGCGAAATCCTGGAATTGGAGAATGCGAAAGTGGAAGAAGAGGTCGTCAAGGAGGAAGTACGCAACAATGGCAACCACGACAGTGAAGCCGACAGAGCTGGGCTCGCCAAGGACAAAGGGAGGAGCGGTGCCGGCGAGGAGCCGCGCAGGGAGTCCAAGTCGTCAGAGGCAAGCAGCATGGTTCATGATGTCCATGTAGTGGAGAAGAGTGTGGTGGAAGAACATTCAGATGCCGCTGCTGCGGTTCCCGGGAAGTCCTACAACGATGATATTGAGGTGGCACGGGAGATCAGGTCGCAGTTCGAGCATGCAGCAAACTCTGCAGCCAATGTATCCAAGGTGCTCGAGGTTGGGAAGATGCCTTACCACCACAAGAGCTCAGGACTGAAAGGTTTATCTATGATTATGAAGCATTCTCCAGAGTTTCAATCGTGTGATGGCCATCCGATGAAAATAGGAATTTTTGCTAACTCAATTGCTTCTCTCTGTAGTATCCTCATCGATGATAATCTGTGTCCGGCCTTCAGTCGGCGAGGAGTTCCTGCAGTTTGTGGAGGACAAAGCTACAGAACATGGCAACCTTTCTTCGACATTGCAGAAGCTCTACATGTGGGAGGAGAAGCTTCTTGAAGAACTCAAGGTTCTCAGCATGCTTTACTACCTCTTTTTTTTTAGTTCTTAGCTGAATGATATTATTCGTGTGCAATTTTGTCTTTATGTGTGTGATGTTGAACATTCATTAGCTTTGCTACTTGCTTAATATGATCCAAGATGACTCGGTTGTAAGATTCTTGAGTAATGACATAGTACTATGTTCAACAAACTTGAATGTCAGCTACTAGCTGTCGAGTATGCTCGCAAATATTGCCGGTAGTCGGTTATAGACAATTGGGAGTTTTACGCTATGAATAACTCCATTTTAGCTTTATATAAAGTTTCCTAGTAGTTGTAGGCTGCTCATTTTTATGTTTCAACGATTTACGCAACCCTTTCTTTTGTACTCCTTCTGAAGCTAGTGAAGAGTACCATTCAGATAACTGCCTTCTGAAGGAATCATCGTTTTTATTGTTTTATTTATGCTAGAGGGGTTTATATTTCAAATGCTTTGGCTTCACTGTTCCTTTGCTTTCCTTGTAATGTAGTACAAGTATTTTACTTAATTGGATTTATTTATTCATAGTTAAAACTTAAAAGTACTCGATTTCTCTCTATCTTTTTTGTCTTGTGTTGGTTATACTCATGTTTGGGACTAAAGGCTTTGTTGTGTTGTGTTGTTGTTGGTTATACTCATGTACTTTTGTTTATCATATAGACCGAGGAGAAGATGAGGGTGCTGTATGATAAAAAATGTGAGGAACTAAAAGTTCTTTATGAGAGAGGTGCTGAGGCTCATAAACTTGAGGACAGTGAAACTTATATCAGGAAGCTATCGACAAAAATAAGTGTTGCCATTCAGGTTGTCAACACTATCTCAAAGAAGATCAATAAGCTGAGAGATGAAGAATTATGGCCGCAAACAAATGAGCTGATTCAAGGGTATGTAGTATGCATCCCTTTTCGAAAATAATAATAATTTTCAGATGAATGCTCACAATGCATACATTATTTTTAAATGAATTGAGTGGATCGATAGTAGCGTTGGGTCGGCAGGCAACCGAGATGTTAGATCATTCTCTAGTACACAGTCAGCACACATTTATTGGTATACAAAGCATTTTTCATTCCGGGCATCCACGAACAATCATAAATGGGAAGTAATTAAATTAATCACACGATAATCTTTCTCGTTCTGTGGCTTCAAACATGTCACTAGCAATAGCCGGATTATTTCCTCTGATGAAGCGCCAAAGTTTGTTAGTAAAATTTTGGGTATCCTGGTAAGTTGTCAGATCCAATGAAATGATTTCAAGACCCGGCTAGTGTTTGACCCGGAAGATGTATTGGGCTTCAAGTTGTTTTAAGTATTAAGTACTTTTAAGACACAGAAGGTGCTGTCATGCATCTCTATGTTGGCACCTTATGTTACTTCGTTGTTTGCATGTTAACTCTGATGCATTTTCAGGTTGATGCAAATGTGGCATGCCATGTCAGAATGCCATAAAATCCAGTGCCATGCCTTGGCCCAAGCTAAAAGCATCGACTCCACCGTCGCAGCTACAAGATTCAGTGAAGCTCATATCGACTTAATCAAGAATCTGGAGCTCGAGTTGCTGGATTTGGTTGCCAGTTTTGCTGCATGGGTTAACGCACAAACGAGCTACATTGGCACTATAAACGACTGGCTGAGGAAGGGGATTGACTATGTGCCTGAATTGACCAATGACGGCACTCCCCCGTTCTCCCCAGGGCGCCTGGGAGCACCCCCCATTTTCATCATCTGTAATAACTGGGCGACCGGAATCGCGAGGATACCGGAGACGGGGGTGGTAGACACCATGCAGGCTCTTGCCTCCCAGATTCTGCACCTGTGGGAGAAGCACAGGCTAGAGTGGAGGCAGGGCATGATGGCCAACAGAGAAATGGACAGGGAGCTTAGAGTGATGGAGAGGGATCAAGTGTCCATGCGCAAGGCCCTCGAAGCACAGAATAAGAAGCTCGTGCTTGTTTCGAATCAGGGCGGCGTGTCCTTATCTGCGCAGGCTGTACGAGATGGTGATCCACCCTCTGAAGCGGGTTTGCAATCATGCATGAACAAGTTTTTCCAAGCGATGGAGAGCTTCGCCGCCGCCTGCGCAAATGCGTACAAGGATCTCCATCTTCGTTGTGAAGAGAGAACTCGACCTGCCCAGGAGACCGACAGAGTTTCCTAGTGGCATTTTCAGACATTGCTTGTACAGTGAGAAGCAACCGACCCTGTGGTTTGGATGAGCAGCAAAGGTGCACATAGCAGCAGTATCACAGATTCAAATTGCACTGCTTTTCTCCCTCTGTTGGGTTTTGGGATCGTCACTGGATTTTAGGCAGCCGATGTGAAAGCTTGTCCTAAGATGACCTCTGATGATCACATTGCCACTGCTCTTACCAAACCAATCTCTCTAGGTTTGATGATCTTCTGCTCCTCCTCTTCATCAATCGTCAGTTCTTTAGACAAGTGAATGACCACCGACGTTATCGCCGGAAAGAAGAAAGCATCAGAGACAAGGAGAGACACAAGGCGCTGATCGGTATCGGAATAAAGATCTTTTGTCATTCATGAAAACCCTACAATTGTCAGTGTAGGAAGTATGAACTCGGTGTTCTCTAGCCAATGCATGATCCTGATCCATGTTTGATTGTTCATTGTAGAGCTCTGCTACAGCTTTGTGCCCAAGTTATCCGGGGATTGACCTTTTTAGCGTAGACAAAGGTCCTGGCACCGCTCGTAGACTCTGATTTTTCACCCATTGTCGAAATTCACATTTTATTTATTCCTATATATACATATGATTCAGTTGTAATCATGACTTTTGTACAGCTATGGTATAACTTGAGCCTTTCTGTAACATCTTTTCTACTCCCTCCGTTCCTAAATAATTGTCTTTCTAGAGATTTCAACAAGTGACTACATACGGAGCAAAATGAGTGAATCTATACTCTAAAACATGTCTACATACATCCGTATGTTGTAGTCCATTTGAGATGGCTAGAAAGACAATTATTTGGGAACGAAGGAAGTAATTTACATCTTGTCACCGCGTTACTGTTAATATATGCCTTTTTTTTAGAAAAAGAGGATGAGCCCCGGCCTCTGCATCTGGTTGATGCATGCGGACACTTTATTAATTATTCTCACAAGACCTTATAAAGTCATACGACAGTAAGACTGAAGCCACCGTCTAAGCAACAACTGTCGCTACACCTATCCAATTGATGAAGGGGCGTTGATAGTCTAAGCAACAACTGTCGCTACACCTATCCAATTGATGAAGGGGCGCTGATAGTCTGAGCCTAATACCAAACAGACATCGCAGACAAACCTAAACATCTAAGACCTGAGGTCCCAACCAGGACGCCTGCCTGGTATGGGGCACCTACCAGTCCGGCGCACTCCTCAACCAGGACGCCTGCCGGGTATGGGGCCGCCGCAGCCACCTGTCATGAGTCCATCTTCAGAGTTGTACTGTTGCATCTATCGTGCCAGGTCTCTCAGCCATCGACGCCACCACGACGCCGGACAGCGTCGTCCTCCTGCGTGAGTCCATCCTCCCACATCGAACTCCGAATCTGCACTGCGCCACGCCGTCCAGATCCGTCGCCATTAATGTATGGATGAAGCACCGCTCCACCAAAGAAGCCGTTCGCTGGTCCCGCGAAGCCGAGTGCACCTCCAAGAATGCCGCCCCCAAGGGGGTTACGACACATGATTGCCGCCAACATCCGATCAGCTGATCTAGGGTTTTCCCCGGAGGTATTGAGTGGAGTTGGGAGCTTCACCTCGATGATGCCTTCATGAAGGAAACGATGATAAGGGCATCGTCATCACCGGCTCCGGCCACCGACTGAAGAAATCCGTCCCAAGAAATCCACCCAACAACATGTGCACCGTCTCGACCGCCTTCAAAGCCCCAGATCCAGCCGCCTAGATCCGGCGACCAACCGCAGCAACAGTTCCACCGTGGGATCCCTAGCACACCGGCCACTTCCTGAGTGTGCCACCACTGGAGCCTAGGAGGAGGGCTCCCACCCCGCCTCGCCAACCCGCGAGAGCCGCCGAGAAGGATCCCGCGGGCTCGTCACCGTCTCTGATCCGAACCAATCCATAGCAGATCGTCATCACAGATCCGCCTTGGACAGGGACTGCACCACGCCATGCCGCTGCGGGAAGCCCGAGCTTCACCGGCCTCCACCCTACAGGGCCGCCGCCCCGGGATCCAGACAGAACTTTGCCGCTGCCACCGGCCAAGTTCCTCCGCTGCCGACTGGCCAAGCCGCCGGTCACTTCATGACCATGCGAGCACAGCCAGCCGGCCGACCAACTATGACGAAGAAGAAGGCCACCACCACCAAGCCTAGGGGCGGCGCCCCAGACATCCTCGTGTTGCAGATCAAGTCCAGGAGCAGTGCCCCGCCGACGGCGATTGAGATCGGTAGCACAACGAATTAGCCTGACATGAGTCAAGGCCAGATCCACCTTTGATGGTGCCGTGCCCCCCCCGCACCACCTCCATGTCGTCGCCGATCTGCGCCACCGCTGTCGGTCTGGCCGGAGAGGAGCGCCGCCTCCCAACCAGATCGAGATCTGAGGAGAAACCGCCACCGCCGCCACGCCACAAGGGCTTTGCCCTGTGACACCCCGGGCGACGACAGCGGAGGGGAGCGGAGGAGGGGAGGGGCGAGGTTGTAGGAAGAGGGCGGGGGCTCCCCGATGCGGGGCGGCGCCGCCGCACGGGGGAGGGACGGGAGGGACCTTAATATATGGCTAAGAAACTAAAAGCACAAATTAGGAAAATGCAGCAAAGCATTTCCTTTCCTCCCCCATCGACGGCTATGGCAAACAAATCCCCTCCAAGGTTTGCTGGCGAGCCTGACGATTCACTTACCCTTTGCCTACCGCTCTGACATCTGGTGGCGGGGAGGAGAATCATGGTACCTCTGCTTGTAGCCTACTAGTTTAGGTTAGGTTTTTATAATCCACACCTGGTGCTTCTTCTTTGAGTTTGTCTTCCGAGTTTCGAACCTCCTTGAATTTGTCCGTCCGGACATAGTCGACGAAGCAACCGCGTAGATTCTTGCTATCTCCTAGGGGCTGCTTGGTTTTAGCCAAAGGCAACCCTGCCAAACATGGACACGGTCGCCCCAGCTTCGCCAGCAAATTCGCGTGAATGTGAACTGGATTGGTAGCGGTGGGCTGGGCGGACCAATTTTTTGGCGACCATCCAAACACCATCCAAGGCCTGGTCAACGACCAATTTATTGGTGGGGCAGTTGAGGGCATCAAACCAAACAGCCCCCTAGAGACGGTGAGGTTAGGATTTTCCGTCGTGTGTGTGCGATGGCAGTGTCTGCCTCAAATCTGTTGAAGGGTTCAATGGCGATGACTGTGGCTCAAGAGCGCTGGTCCTTGGGGGCATGTGCACGAAGATTCCCCGACCTTCATCAACAAGGTTAATAAGTTGGCTGTGGTAGGGAAGCGGCGACAACAACGTGTCGACAGCTCATTGGCGGCGGTAGTGGTCATACGGCGGTCCACTGACTTTGATGTAATTTTTATTATGTTTGAGGTGCTTTTTTCTCCTAGTAAACTTTAATAACAAATTCATATCTTTTCACAAAAAAATGTCTAGGAAGCTATTACCAAAAAAGGCTTTCGCCCCGCTTTATATATAAAGCAAACCGCCCGAGCCAAACATCCCACATAGGTCCACAACACACACACACACACACACGCACAAGGAGTCCACAAGAACACAAAGTACAATCTGGATTAATGCTGAGGGCACAGCTCAACAAGCCCTGAAAACAGAAAAATAATATACAAGGCACAGATGTGCAAGATCCCAAGGAGTGGTACACATCCAGCGTCTCAGGGAGGAGGCGTAAGCCTAGTCGGGCTCCGGGGGCGGGGGCGAGAGAGGAGGCACCACTCGGAAGGCCATCGCGCGGAGGTCGGCGAGGAGGGTGTTGATGGCGTCCCGGTCCTGGGGGCGGCTAAGCGGTCACCAACGCTTCAAGTAACCACACAATTTGAAGATTGCGTCAGTCGCACGTCGAAGAGGTGTTCTTTGGATGACAAGCTTGTTGCGGATAGTCCAGAGCGTCCAGGAAAGGACCCCAACACAGAGCCACCTAATGTGGCGGTGACGAGGGCGGAGTCTTGGATTTCCGCCAGCAGGTCCTAGAAGTTTGTATTGCACCAACGACCACCGACCGTATCGTGGAAACAGGCCCACAGGAATTGGGCCGTAACACAAGAGAAGAAGATGTGGTTGGCGTCCTCTACCGTGCCTCATAAGAGACACATCCCATTCCCCCGGGCGATTGCGCTTCAGGACCTCAACCCCAGACGGTAGGTGGACCCGGATCCACTACCACAAGAAGATCCGGATCTTCAACGGCAAGTGGATGTCCCAAATCAAGCTAAACGGCTCAGGAACCGGAGAGGGAGCAATGGCCGAATAAAGGGAGAGAACCGCCCCGAAGGCTCCAGACGCCACGACACGGAGTCAGGCGCGCCATCCAGTTCCAAAGGCTGGAGGGCGATGGCTCGGAGAAGGGCGTCCCAAGCGGCCACCTCGAGAGGGCCGAAGGGGCGTCGGAAGGCGAGCCACCCTAAGTCAATAAGGGACGACTCAACGGAGACCCGAGGGTCGACCGCGATGGAGAATAGCTCCGGGAAATGGGCGGCCAGGGGGGAGTCCCCCAGCTACCGGTCAAACTAGAACAGCGTCGCGGACCCAGAACCCACCTCAATGGAGGTACCGATTCGGACAACAGGAAGGAGCTGAATCACAACCTGCCAAAATTGGGATCCACCAGAGCGCTAACAGAAGGCAAGAGGCTGTCCATGGAGGTATTTATTGCGGATGAGGGTTAGCCAAAGCCAGCGCATCAGGAGAGCGATGTTCATCCGCCTGGAGGACAGGATCCCAAGGCCCCCCTGGTATTTGGGTTTCCAAATGTCGGGCCAGCTAACCATATGATATTTCTTCTTATCCCCCTCGTGAGCCCAGAAGAACCGGGACTGGTATTTGGCGATCTCCTGATGAAGGGTCTCGTGGAGGCTATAGAAGCTCATGAGGAACCATAGGAGGCTGGACAGCGAGGAGTTGATGAGTATCGTCCTCGCAGCTTTCGAAAGCCACCTGCCCCGCCACGGTTCCACCCGGTGCTG